CTTTGAGCTATGGCTGTCGCCATACTTATTGGCTTTGGCCCCCTCCCCCACCTTGGGGAGATCTCTGGGTTACCGTGCTGTGTGCCTCCCCTCTCCACCACGCCGTCTTCACTCTGTCCGTACCCTAACAGGGGAATTTTTGCCCTTGGACCTGACTGGAAAGCACAAGCCTGACTAGAGAAAAATAGAGAGAAAAGCCAACTGAGATAACACCAACCAGACTGCTGGGAGGACCACCACCCATGATAAGCCATCAAGACACACCCTGTGCCATGCCTGCATGTTTTCCATACCAGTTTTCCCTTTTTATACCCTTGCATACAACCTAAAAATCAGAAATGGTTTCTTTGAGACCTGAACGTGGCCATTTCTTCACCAGCCAGCTTTTGGAATAAAATCACCTTCCTTCCGTTATAAAAAAAAAAAAAAAAAAAAAAAAAAAAAAGAAATCATACTCTCCTCAGAAAAGGAACACATACCTATTTAAAAATCTCCACTGAAGCACAAGACCTCTTGTAAGCAAACAGTATTACATATATGTGCACATAAAATATCTGTTGGGAGAGCAATTATTTTGTAAGAAAATGCACTACTACTATCTTGGCAAATATCTTCCCTGGTATGTGTCAGTTCTCCCCACTTGCACCTAGTTCTTGATTAGGCAGAATTACCGGTGCCAATGAAATTGTGGTATATAGGATACCAATTCTTTCACCTTATCCACCTGACCACACAAAGATAGCAACAGTAACCACACCCTTAGAAGATTCTTTTTTCTTTTTGAGTTGGAGTCTCACTCTGTCACCCAGACTGGAGTGCAGTGGCCGCTCCCGGCTACCGCAGCCTCGACCTACTGGGCTCTGGCGATCCTTCCGCCTCAGTCTTCCGAGTAGCTGGAACTACAGCTGCGCGCTACCACACCCGGCTCATTTTTGATTCATTGTAGAGATGTGGTCTTGCCAAGTTGCCCAGGCGGGTCTCGAACCCAGGGGCTCAGGCAATCCACTCACCTCAGCCTCTCAAAGGCGCGAGGTTACAGGCTGAGCTACCGAGCCCAGCTTCGTTAGAAGAGTCTTAGCAGACCTCAAAATTTCAAATGTTCATATATATAGATACACATTGTTTAGGAAACACATTGTTTAGGAAAAAAAACAAACTATAAAAACTTTAGTTAAAAACATTGTTTCAGGTTTACCTGGAGTAGATTTAAAGGCCTGAGACTGGAAGTATTTTTTAAACCAAATGGAACACCTGTTAAATAAAACTCATGGTTAATAGAAAACTTTATTACACATAATTTACTTTAGTATTATGTACTTTCTGAATAGATATGCTTATTTTCCATACTTTTAAAATATCTTACATTTTAAAAACAAATTTTAGTATTGATAAATACTAAAATTTTATTCAAAGATATAGAGCACCAGATGTACATTATATTCTATATTTCAGACACAGAAACTTTTTTTTTTTTTTTTAACTATTCTGACTGCTGGCTGAAAAAAACAGTAACCAAGAGTTATATGAATACCATGAGTAAAACAATTCTATCACTGTTGTATAAATACATTTCAGGTACTGTCATCTATTTTCATTTCTCAGTACTATAAAGTATACTATGATAATTGCATCTCTAAGAAATGGTGTGCTGTGTGGTTTTTTTTTTTTTTTAAACTACAAATGCAAATATTCAGAATGCTACAGAATGCTGAATTTTGAAAGTCAGGAAACCGTGCTGTTAATTCTGAGCTTATTTCTAAAAATGTGCAATGCAGCATTAGGGCATATCTTAAAGCTAAGGGTGACAAACTTTTTCATAAAGGGTCAGAATGTAGGCTTTGTGGCTCACATATGGCCTCTGTTGCATATTCTTTTTGTAAACCCTAAAAACATAAAAAACATTCTTAACTTAGATTGCTGACCCTGGCCTTAAAATGTGTGTATATTTTGCTCACTACCAAAATATACCAATTTGAACACTAATTAAATATACATCTAGTCCTATCAGATGACTGATACTCCTTTCAGGAAAAATTCTCATTTAAAAAATGGCTTAACTCCCTTTAAAGGCAGATGACATCTGTTATCATGCTTTCAAACGCACTTTGATATTTCATAATTCATTTCTCAAAAGCACCAAGTGAAGTTAAGATAGTCTTACTCCCACTTTAGAACAAATGATACTGAGGCAAAGAAAGAAAAATGGACTTTTCTAAGGTTCCACAAGTTAGCAACTAAAGCCATGTGTAAATGATATAACTGGTAGAACATGCAAATATTCAAAATTTGAGACTTGATTATTTTCAGGGCTTCTGCCACTAGAACATGTTTGCTTAAAAATAAGATTAGCTAAAATCGGAAAAATCACAGTACATGATAACATGTTTAACTATATCCTCTGGGTTCTCTTTCTCATAACTCACGGAAAGTTTTTGATAAATTTTTCTTCCTATTTCTTCCTATTCAATTTTTTCTTGAGTAAGAACTGAATTGAGTTGTTCCAAGATATTACAATACATTATTTTAAAGAGCATTAAAAAAATAGCAAAAGTTGTTATAAGTTAATGACTAAAAAATAAAACTACCACCACTAAAAATGATGACAGCAAATATTCTTTAATGTTTATCATGTCTCAGGCATAATTTAAGCACATCATCTGTACTCATTTAATCCTCACAAATATGATTTAAAGTTACTATTGCTATCCCCATTTTATTTCTGAGGAAAACGAGGCACAAGGTTAACTTTCCCAAGATTATGCAAATAGTGAGTTTTACAACTGTGCTTCACCTACTACAGTCTGTCTCAAGAAATTAGGCTTTTAACTGTATACTCCGTTGCCTCTTCTGCACAATATACATTGTCAAATGCATTTATTTTCTCTAGAACATGACTACATTGGTTGGAAAACAAAAGACAGTAATTTGCACAGACTTATAGCCTTACCATGTTTCTTCACAGAAGTTGATTGCCAAATATCAGAACTTAAAGGCTTTTGAAATGAAATATCTGGGATATAATACTTCATGAAATAATAACATTAAGTGCCTTTAAAAATACTCTTAAAATAACTTTTTTATTTTAGCATGTACTTTGATTTTTTGAGGTTACTATTTCCAACATTCTGACCTGCTTGAGAAGCTGCTGGCATTGCACTAGGCAATGCATTTGGTAACAGACCTCCTGAGGGAAGAAGGCTACTCAGGTTTATTCCTGCAGGAGTTATGGCACCAGTGTTACAGCTCAGCATGGGGTTTGAACCACTCATCAAAGCCTGGGCCCCACTGCAGGAGAATAAGACCAAGCATTAAACTTGCACTGTGAAAGGAAAAGTCAGCCACACAATTTAAAAAAAAAAAAAAAAAAACCTACTAAACAAACGTAATTAGCTATTTCTCTGTCTTAAATATCAACTTCTAGGCTCAGTTTCATCTCAAAGCCAGAAAATGACAGCAAGTTTGGCTAAAATGAAGTACTGTGTATTTAACAAGTTTGAAATATAATTTGAAAAAGTGTTAACCAAGATATTGAAGATGGTAACACAGGACAAATAGGAAAATCTAAGCTGCCGGCAATAGTATCATCTCAGTGCAGTAATAGACGTATTATCTAAAATTAAAATGTACATGGTCGGGCAGCTTCTGTCCATATCTAAACTATTCTCTTTCAGTCTCAGTAATATGCAACTTGTCCTTAATTTCACAAATAAGAATTCAATTTAGATTGGTGAGACTGTCTTAAAAAAAAACAATTAGGATACTGATGCAAACTTACCAAACAGAGCCCACTACATTGATGAAGTTTAGTCCAGTAGAGTTTGCCATGACCTGGGTGGCCGTGTTTCCTGTAGTTATAGATGTTACCATGGTGGAAAGAGGAATGGTCGTTACAGGCATTGCCTGGCTCAGAGACCTTTGCTGCTGAGCAAACTGAGTTAACAAAGTGGGCTGAGGGGTGAAGCCTGAATCTTGGGGAGTAGGGGTGGCTGAAGGGGTACTAGGAGTTGAGCTCTGAGCATCAGGAGGGTGTGGGGTCGATGAAGGGGTTGGTGTAGGAGTAGATGGCTTAGGAGTTCCAGATCCTGCTCATTGAGAAAAATAAAAATTGCTAGTTTGTTATAAATGGCCAGTTCTTTTTAAAATAAGGTTAATGGAATCTTACTTAGCACTGACAATTTGTTCCAGTTTTTTTAAAGCAGTTAACTGCAAGTGTTAATTTCTACACATGAAACATGAGTGTTGCTACACTCAATTACAATTAAGGATGCAGTATATCACCTATAAATCCCATTAGAGATGCTATCACAGTAACAGTAAAAATATACATTTGTATTCTACCACAATACCCATTTAAAAGTTAGTTTCCTACATGCTGCCTTTGGCCTAAAAAGTTCAAAAGGAATTCAAATTAATTTGTTATTTACTATTTCACTAATTCAATTACTTCATTTAAAAATACTGCTTATTTAGTGTAACAGTCTGAGATAAACTGTGAACATATTTAATAAATTACATATGGTTAACAATCATATTTGGCACCTAAATATACATGTTTAATTCCTAACACATCAAGTTTATCCTGACAAACAAATTTACAAAAAAAAGTAATAAAGTAAATATTTAATAGATAATACTGCATCTTTAACAGTAACTGTGTACTTCTGTTTAAATGTAGAATGTATAGAAAATCTGTTGTGAATGAAGTATGCACAGTTTATCAATTTTTAAGAAAAACAAAAACAAAAAACAAAAACCAAAAAAGTAAAACCAAAAGCTCTTGAGGTGTTTTCTTTTTTAGCTTTCATGTCCTGCAGAAAGAAAGGAAAGAAATGTGAATGTCCAGAAGCTGTCACTCAACCCTTACTTAAAGTAACAACTGTGTGCAGTAGATTACCATAATCCATACCCACAACATAAGAAGTGTGAATAAGACGTTCAGAAAATTTATATATTTTTCTTTGTGCAAAACAAGAAGGCAGAAAAATTACACCTTTTGAGCTATCAAGATGAAGATGTTCATATCTAATGCAAAGACCACCCTATCACTGTGCAGTGTACTCAAACTTTCAGCACACATCAGTTATTTATAAAAAAAATCTAAAAAACTGGAATGGCTTTTTTTCCCCCAAATTGGTACCTAAAATATTCAGATATTTATTATTTTGAAGAAATTCTACCAAACTAATGTTAGCATTCTTGCAAAACTCTTGATGGTAAAAAAAAGTATTCAGTAGTAAAAATTATACTTTAGTATCTTCAGAATAATGCTTTCTGAATCATCACATTTTAGTAACTAACAACAATTTATAAAAGAGTGTAGGAGTGTTTTTGAAATATTGTTTTTCAGTTTATTGTATCACCACCTTGGAACTAGTTGGCTTCTTACATATACAAAGATAGGAGCTGCAGCAACAACTCTTATGACATTTTTTCGTATTAGCCGCACAGTTTACATAAAATGTAAATGATCCTAGGGTACACTGGAATAAAAAATATTTTGAAATCTTATTGCCACCTGAAACTACCAGATTTTTTTAAGGAGATGTGTAGGCTGCAAGTATATAAGAAAGGTATACACAGAGTGCATACATAGATACAGAAAAACAAGTACAATTACAATAGAGACATAATACATACAATCAACAAAAGCTCTGCCTGAAGTTTCTCACAACTTATACATTTTGGGTACACGGTACATTCAGATTTCACTATTCACAGGTCAAAAAGGGTCTTAGGAAACACTAATGCAAAGCTTATGAAGACTTAATGAAGAACTTAAGTTATAACTCACTTTGTGATGAGCTGGCAGGTGACAGGGCAGCTGGAGAAAGCATGCCAACTTGATTGAGATCCACAGACGATTTCCGAGAAAGACTTGGTGGCTTAGAAGAAGGAGGAGGAGTTGGAGATTTAAGAAAGCTGCTTGCCTGCTGTGGTGTAAAATAGTTACCTAGAAGAAAGTAAAAGTCATTTCCTAGGTTTATAATTCAAAATTCTGTGAATCGTAAATATCAAAATGGGGCAAAGTTTTAAAAAGAGATCATGATTGTATGATGTATCTTACTCTAGATTATATAAGACTAAGAAATATAATACCTGAGGAACTATTTCCTGAGCTTGAGGGAAGTTTGATGGGTGGCGGTCGATGTTTTACTCCCTTCCCCAATACTGAAGACTGAACCGACACAGTCTCAGGCTGCTAAAAGACAGTGACAATCAGCATACTTGTTAAAATCAATACCACTGTAACTCCCAGATAAAAACACACAATCTGTAACTCTGCAAAGTACTCTTAGTTGTTCTAGATTACATATTAAGGTTATTACAGAAAAATATAATTTCACATGAGACCCATGAAATATACTATAGTACACATAAAAGGAAAAGATTTCTGAGGAACAGTCTGAGAGAGGAGGAGTAAGAAGAGAGCAGAGTGTTCACCTTCTATACCTACTGGTTAAAGGAAAATAACAACTCCAGACATCTAGAACACAGGTTTTCATTATACTTTTTTTTTTTGAGTTGGGTTCTCACTCTATCCCTCAGGCTGGAGAGCAGTGGCACAATTATGGTTCACTGCAGCCTTGACCTCCTGAGCTCAGGCGATCCCTTTCACCTCAGTCTCCTGAGTAGCTGGGACTACAGGTGTGTGCTCAGCTAATTTTTTGACTTTTTTTGTAGAGATGAGGTCTCAGTATGTTGCCTAGGATAGTCTTGAATTTCTGGGCTCAAGCAATCCTGCCTTAGCCTATCAAAGTGCTGGAAGTACAGGTGTGAACCTGGCCTCATATTTTTCTACTTGTGTGTATGTTTAAAAATTTCTATTATAAAATGTTAAATTTAAAAAGTTAAAAGTAAAATCAAAACTAAACAATATCTCCACCCTTCAAAAAATGATCCTCAACATTTCTCAGATTCCTTGAGAAACAATTAGGCACAAAAAGTAACAGTAATGAAACACACTTCAGCTTCTTTCCCTGGAGAAAGCTGACTCAGACTGGCTGAGCCACTGGAGCTGTGTGACATCTTGACTGGACATTTAGCTTCATTCTGGACCAATTCCTGGTACTGATTGACTACCCTAGAATTTAGGAAGAAAGAGGTAAGTATTAGGTAACTCTGTTTTAAATACAATTTATATAGGAAATGAATAATGATTATTAAAATGGGCAATAAAGTTTTATTAAAAATTAGTAAAAATTAAAATTAGGCAATTTACCTTTGTGTTAAAAGTACATTCTTCTAATCTTTTCATGACAAGATGTTTAAAATATTTTGTTAAATAATCTAACAATATACTTTCAAACTTATTTCTAATACAGAAATTGAAGGGCATATTTAACTAACAAGCAAAGAAAATACCGCCTTTCTCTTAAAGTACTACCTAGAAATCATCTTCCTTAGCTACAGTAGGTATGGCTAAGTGTTCTTATTGAAAATAAAACTGTAGCTTCAACATTTTATTTTTTCTTCTTATCTCTATGAAAAAAGTTCTAAGTATTAAAAACATGGGAAAACACAAATAAGTCCCCCCATCACATCCTACAAAAATAATCTTTCATAATAGGTTGGTGTATCACATCCTTTCAAGCATTTTCTTAGAATCAATGGAATTTTAAAGTTGGAAAGGACCTTGGAAATTTTACTGTCCAATGATCTAACTTTACAACTGAGGCCCATAAATAGTGAATGGTATAATGTTCAACCAGTTAAGGGAACAACAAAATGTTTTTGACTCCTAATGGAGTACTTTCTATCCTATAAGGGTAAAAAGATTTTCATATCCACCTTGACCAAAAATAAAGACGTAAATATTTTTACCTCTCAGCATCAGTCTTTGATCCAATAACGAACCTAAAATGTTTAAGAATAAAAAAAGAGAAAAAAATATTAGGTAAGAGCTGTCTTAAATCCAGGGATTACTTTTGAAATCTGCCATATTTAGTCACAATAATTTTATAAATTGTCATTAAGTCTACCAAGATATTATTTTAAAAACTTCAAAATACATTTAAATGTATGAAGCAATGACCAAGTTTTGCATGCATTAAGAAATAATCATGTGAGTAATTTGGCTGATTTAACTAAGGAAGATTTATTTTGGCACAAAATCTATTTATCAAAACATAATTTGGGCTGAAAGTAACCAAGTGCTATATACACCCTTAAAAATGTCAGTCCTACAGCAAAATTACTGAACTACCTAATGTGCAAGGTCTTTGACCTTCCTCTCACTTTAATCTTTGATTTGAGAAGTTATTAATGTCTACACAGCAAGGCCTTAGAATATATTTCAAGCCAGGAACATAATTTATTACCAATTCAAATAAAATATCCTTACCAAGTCTTTTAAAAGAGTTTGATATTTATATAATTTCTTAACAGATTAAAATAATGAGTATTTTTAAATTACCAATTTGAATGATCATCTGTGGAGAAGCTGAAATATACAATGTAAAATAAAAAAACTTGGTTAACACAGCTCAAATTTTAACTACATAATTATTAAATACAGTATCTTATGAATATGGAAAAACAATCAGAAGATAAATACATCATGCAGCATTTTTACAGTGACTCTGACATAAAGGTAAAAAATTCAATTCTCTTAATGATAAACAAATTAGTCAGTTTGCTTACAGATGAATTTCTTTTTATGATACAGCATATATTATTAACCTCCTGTTCTAGAAAAAGTAAGTTAGTAAGTTTAAAATGACTAATGTATGTCTTTAAGTGAAAGATTTTTTTAAAAAACATAAGTAATCCAAATATATGATTCCTGTACTCTGTCCACAACAATAAAAACTAGTAATGTGAGAAAATTAGCTGAGGATTCCCAGACTGCTAGCTACTATTTCCTCTCATTGACTTTTATCTAAGTATTTGTGAAGTTATTCTTTTAAATCCACCTTTCTACTGTAGTTTCAACTATTTTGTGTAAGTAAAAGCTTTATAAACAATTTAACATGGACCTGGTCTCTGTTCTTTTCTGCAGAGCTCCCTTTTCTTTTCAAAATAACATCACTTTGATTAAAAAATCAAACTAATAATAAAACTAACAATCAAAACTACTAACACACAATAGTAAATATATTCCATACATTTTGAAAGATTAATTATATACATTTCTAGGGCCAATACCTATGTTAAGTACTGAGTCTTTGTCCATACACGCAGTGTTGATATATCAACCATCTTTTAACACATATAGTAAACTTGCTTCCCACTTATACATACTCTGCCTGGACACCTCATGCTCACAGGTTAAAGTCACAACTGCCATAAATATACAAAGGAGGGCATCACAGGCATATCCTTCAAAGCAGGCATAAAAATAATTATACCATAGGTATTCTTTAAAAAGAAATTATTATTATTTTAAATAACTCTTGAACAGCATGGTATTAATGATCTAAGTTCATTTAGCCCTTTGCACTCAGAGACATCTCATGGATCACCTACCAACAACTGGACCATACTTTTTTTACAAAATCATGAAAAATGAACCACTTCATATTAAATAGTACAGTGTTAGAACCAGTTCTTTTATTGTAATGATACTGGGTTTATAATGGAATTTTGGACATTGAGGAACTTATTTATGACAAAAAAATCAAAATTTTATATATTTTTCAAACATGGTAACATGTGAAACAGTCACCAACATGTATTACAGGTTCACTGATACATGTTGCACAATAATAATCTGTTTGATGTCTCCCACCTGGTGTTTTTCTATTCAAGTAGACAATGCAGGATTGTTTTCTTCCTCTCACATTAATAATATGTAATTTACTGTCCAGTCTGTTGTTTGAATATGACGTGGAAGGATTCTCTTTCTACGTAATGCCAGCTGATTTTTTTAACATTTATATTCCATTATTTTAGGTGTTTTTGTGCAACTTGAATAGAAAACTTCAAAAAAACATACATTTTTGAAAAATGTACACTGGCATAAGTTTGTCCCGTACAATCACCAGCAATCTCTCTATGTTCCCTGAGAAGGGACATTCGAGTAGTTGCTAGATTTACAGTGTCCCCTCAGAGGGGACATTTGAGTGCAAAGGGCTAGGTCTACTGCCAAATCTAATTGGTATATTTAACTGCCAAATGAATTCCCAAAGCGAAATTCTGTTTGTTGAGTTGGGGTCTCACTCTGTTGCCCAGGCTGAAGTGCAGTGGTATGAGCACAATGATCACAGCTCAAAGTAGCCTTGACCTCCTAGGCTCAAGTGATGCTTCCACCTCAGCATCCTGAGTTGCTGGGACTACAGGTGTGTGCCACCACACCTAATTTTTTTTTTTTTTTTTTTTTTGGTAAAAAAAAAATTAGGTTGCCCTAGCTGGTCTTGAACTAATGGGCTCAGGCAACCTACCCACCCTGGACTCATAAAGTGCTGGGATTACAGGTGTGAGCCATCACGCCCAGCCAGAAAATTTTTATTCATTAATGGATCAGGAGTTGCTAGGTAAGTTCTGGATGTCTGAATTTTGTCAGTTATATATATTTAACAGAACTCACTGTGATGGAGACATCTGGTTGTCATTTTCCTCTTCTGCTTTACATGGCTGTATTTTACCATAGTAAAGTGGATCACCAAGTGATTGCAAGATAGTCAGCTTTGTTTTCTGATACTGAGTACCAGCTTCACATTCAAATACATAATCATCTTTTACATCCTGAAAAAGATACAGCATCACAAAAAAAATAATCTTCTCAAATAAGCAAGCAATGAGAATTAGTCTGATTAACATGTCTCTGGCAATATGAACACATGGCATTTAGTCTATAACGATGTTTAAGATTGCCTAAGAGAGCTGGGCTCGGTGGCTCAGCCTGTAATCCCGGGCCTTTGGGAGGCTGAGGTAAGAGGATTGCCTGAGCCTGCGGGTTCGAGACCCGCCTGGGCAACTTGGTGACACCTCATCTCTACAATAAATCAAAAGTTAGCTGGGCGTGGTAGCGCGCGCCTGTTGTTCCAGCTAGTTGGAAGGCTGAGGCGGAAGGATCGCCTGAGCCCAGCAGGTCGAGGCTGCGGTGGCCGGGAGTGGCCACTGCACTCCAGTCTGGGTGACAGAGTGAGACTCCAACTCAAAAAAAAAAAAAAAAAGATTGCCTAAGAAAATAAGGAACAGGATGGTCCTTAAAAAAAAAAAAAATATATAAACTAAGTGTGTATTTAATAAAGCATTAACTTATACTATGAAGTATGAGCATATATATGACAGCATATCATCAAATCCATGATGATACATATTAATATAGATATTGGAAATCATAACAATAAACATTTATTAAACATTGTAATACCTAAAAACTTTACAGGTATTACATCATGTACTCTTTACCGCACCCCGATGACCAGTACTATTATCTCTATATTAGAGGTCAGGGAACTAAGCAAAGAGAGTTTAAGTGACTTGCCTATGGTCACACAGGGAGCCAACGGTCTGCGCTCCAGCTTACACCCCTGAACCTCATGCTGCCCTGCCCTTCCATGCTTGGAAGGGCTGTACAGGATTCTTTTATACATGGTACTTCAGAAATGAGAGCTCCAGCAGGGTATTTAGTTAATTAAACTTAAGAGAAATATGGCAGAATTTCATACTGGACATTGAGTTGCAAATATATTAAATAATGTTAAGAGGATAAAACTTTGAAAAGTAGACGTTTTTATTTCTTTAGTCTGCTTTTGTTACCATACATACAAAATATCTCTCATTATTTCACTCCTAGGGTTCACCAACTTAATATATTATGCCTATTTCTCTCCTTTCTCCTTTAATGAGAAAAACTTACATAGGATATTCCTGTTAAGAGACATCCATAGAAGAATTATTAACTTGAAACATACCCAAAACAAAAGGTAAAATGCCGCTCTGCATTAAAACTGCTCTTTAAAACTTTAGCTACACTTTTATAAATAAATAAAATAACTATTCCTTCTTATAATTTGCTGAACCCCACTATAAAGTTCTTTTTTTTTTTTTGAGTTGAAGTTTCACTCTGTCGCCCAGGCTGGAGTGCAGTGGCATCCTCCCAGCCACTGCAGCCTCGACCTGCTAGGCTCAGGCGATCCTTCTATCACAGCCTTCCAAGTAGCTGGAACTATAGGCGTGCGCTACCACGCCAGGGTAATTTTTTATTTAGAGACGAGATCTTGCCAAGTTGCCCAGGCTCGGGCAATCCATTCACTTGAACTGGCGGGCTCAGGCGATCCACTCACCTCAGCCTCTCAAAGTGCTGGGATTACAGGCTGAGCCACCAAGCCCGGCCTCAAAAAGTTCTTTACGGAAAAAAAGGTCCCAAGTAAATGGCAACTGCACTTTATGCTTAATCAATTCAGATCTCAGATTAGAAACAGCATCATCAGAAACAAAGGCAATGATGACTTACGTGAGCTGGCCAGACTGCTGGCTGTGAGTCATCGGATTTGATAGATTTCTCCACTTTAGCGTATTTCTCCACCTAAATAATTAAATCAGTAGACACCAGATAAAAGAAATCAGCATTCGGACCAAAGAGAAGAACATAAGTAACTCAACAATATAATACACTTGTTAGCACAAAAATTCTCGAATCATGAATATCACCAACTACTTAATAAGTACTTTATAATTCTTTGATATGTTCAGTTAAAATAACTTCAATTAAAAAAAACTAAATGAATAAATGTAATAAATATAGCTACTTTTCTAAACAGTGCCTCCCCCCTCCCAATAAGTTGCCATCATGTTTGTCTTTTAGAATCCTTCTTTTAGAAAAACTGAAACGGCAAAGAGATAGTAGGATCAGGACGCTTTCCTTTTGGCAGGGTTTTTAAAGGACAGGAGTTACCATATAACAATCGGAACAAAACTGAAAGAGACTAGGAAAGATATAATAATAAAGTTGAAAAAATTTTGAACCTTTTCCATTTTCTAGTCAGACTTGGGCCATATATTCTATATATGTTCTAAGCATCTGTGTGAATCAAATATTCTTATCTTACTGGTAACTATACTCTTAGGAGTAATTATATTCATCTGATCACCTGTTAAAAATGCGTATTTTTCCAGTCAGGCAAAGTGGCTCAGCCTGTAATCCCAGTACTTTGGGAGGCTGAAGCGAGAGGATCGTCAGAGCCTGGGGGTTTGAGACCAGCCTGAGCAATCTGGTGATACCTAGTCTCTACAGTAAGTAAATCACAAAAACTAGCCAGGCGTGGTGGTATGCATCTGTAGTTTCAGCTACTTGGAAGACTGAGGCAGAGGGTTCGCTTAAGCCCAGCAGGTCAAGGCTGGGGTAGCCGTGAGCATGCCACTGCACTCCAGCCTGGATGACAAGAGTGAGACTCCAACTCAAAAAAAAAAAAGAAAGAAAATAGATCTTCACGTCTGTCCCCTGGAGATCCTAAGCAAGTAGGTCTTCAGTGGGGTTAGAAATCTATATGCGTAACTGATAATCTAAGTGGTTATGATTAAGCAAGACTGAGCTTTGTATTATAGCCTTGCTATAAAGTCAAGTCTGTGGAACTCAGCACCACCTAGGAGCTTGTAAGAACCTGACTTAATGAATGGGAACCTACAATTTAACAAACCCTCAAGGTGATTTTTATGTAAATTTAAAGTTTAAAAGTGCTATCCTTCAAAGCCCATCCTTCAAAGTTGGATTCCACCCCTAAGTTTTACACTAAACTTCTATTCTTAGGTCATGCCCTTGAAGAACGACATATAAACTACCAAAAGATAATGTGGCTTACTTCCTTGAGTTGTATATATGATCTATTGATGCTTTCAGCTTCGTGCTTTTTGCACAATTTTTTTTTTTAAACCATAGATAGTAAGAATAGTACAGATGCTACCCCAGAAAGGGTGCAAGAGAAGAACACAAATCTGAAAAATAACTAAACAAGTATAAAGAGTTGCTGAATAATAATAAATAAAAAAAATAGGAGAAAGAAATAGCAAAACAGAATATAGGACCTCTCATTAAAATACTCCTCTCCTGTCCAAAACATTTCTAGTTCATGTATATATGGATCAGTAAAGAATACTATCCATGGTTCCTAATCTTGATCACTGCTTTAGTATTATTAATCTTTAAATATAAGTAGTGTGAGGAAAGAAGACATTTCATGTGTATTATATAACACATGCCATACTTTTCCATATTTTGAAGTTATTTTTGTTTACTAACCCTGTTCTAAACACAACTATATTAAGGGGTTATTTTCTCACATAACTTAATGTGAAAGAAGAATACACCACTTATATAACAACACAAGTTGATTGTTTTTTAAAAAACACAAGATTCTTTGTTGACTAAAGGTATATTTGAGCTACCTAACAGTAAAACTCAGGAATCTTAGATGAAAAAAAAAAACAATTCATGAACTGACTTACATCCACTTCAGAAGGTATGGCCAAATTACATGGACTCCGTTTCCACATATCTACACACTGAAAAATTAAGAACAATATAAACACACAAAAAATTCAAAATAAGACATGCTCTGCGGCATAAAAATAAGCTTCATTTAAAATATATACTTACATTTCCGGCTTTAGAAATTTTGAGGTCATAATGCTGACCTGCTTTTCTTTCCTTTCTTTTTTGCAAGAAATCAAGTAATTTCAGCTGAGGAGGAGGTGGACAATGAGACAAATCCTGCTGCCGATTCAGAGAGGACCTGGAATATCTCTTGAAACATCTGAAATATTGAGATTTGAACTAAACAAAACTAATAAAAGTAACTCATAATATCTGTGGGTTTAAACTTAATGTGATATTAAATCATAAATGTCTATAGAATATTACCACATGCTAAGCATGCCCTAAACTGCTGAAATAAAAAAGAACAAGACAAACAGAATTCTCACTACGATGAAGCTATCAAGTCCAGATGGAGACAAGACATTCACAAGTAAACAGATAAAATAACTTCAGTAGCAATAAACAGGAAGAGAAAACACAGGACTGTGGTGAGTAAGGGATAGGGAGGGTAACATTAGGTAAGGGAAGAGGAGGACTTGCTGAAGAAATGATGTGTAAGCCAAGACAGGAATGATGAGAAGAAACTAGCTATGTAAAGATCTGGGGAAGGACAACTTCTGGCTTCCAGTCCAGGCATGTAAGACACTGGAAATTATCACTCCATCTTCAGGTAAAAAGCTAAATAAAATGAAAAATTAATTCTTCTTAGATCCATCAAAAAAGTATGACCATAGGGAAAATCACTGCCCCCAAATCTGCAGAGACCAACAGTCAAGTAGAGTATTGTGGCTTGTTGGAGCACAAGCTCCCTTGAGAACCAGTGCCAGGGTATGGAAACCTGAAATGTAACTGATGAACTGCTAGATGCTCAGCATGGTCAAGTCTGAGGGATCAAAAACTCCAGGAAGATCCAGTAAGAGGGAGTCAATTTCATGAATTTAGTTATAAACCGACTTCTAAAGCTATGATCATATTTTACCAAATCTCAAAAATAAACTATAAATTCTTTCCTTAAAAGTGAGATTAATAAAAATTAAACTCATTGCTGGATATCAGGAAGTAATAAAGAAATTCTACTATCTGTTAATATATGCTCTCTTCTCAGCTTTCCCATCTTGGTAAACAGATTATATACTTAGAGGAAATTGTTATTTAAAAGACCGCAGAAAATGCATCACTTCAATATAAAGTAGAGAGCATTAAAAAAGTGCAATGCACAAAACACATACAACCATTAAAAATCTTATTTTCAAACTTAAAAAAAAAATCAGAAATTATGCTCTGAAAGAAAAATTTACAGCTATTTGTCATGTCTTTTGATTCACGCTTCTACAAAGACAATTACCGTTTCATCGGGCGAGTGTTCATCTTTTGCTTGTTATAGAGAAGTCTGTTTGCAGTGCAGGTTACTGCTATAGAGGGATCAAGACACAGTGGTTCAGCTGTAGCTAGGATCAGTTGGCTCTCAAGTAATAGTTTGTCTTCCTGAAATGTGTTAAGAGCTTATGTCAATACCAAATTCAAGATTTTCAAATATGTAATAATACATATCACTTAATCTAGAAATATTCCCTGGAATTCTGCTAAGGGCTACAGTAAAATATAATATTTTAAGTTCCAATGTGAGTGTGTAAACATTAGAAACTTAACAGCATAAAGAAATTGCTAACAGAAATTCAATATAGGCATACCATGTTCCTGTGTGCTTCACAGATACAGTGCTTTACAAATGAAAGGTTTTTGGCAACCCTGTGTTGAGCAAGTCTGAATGCTACTTTTTCAACAGCATGTGGTCACTTTGTGTCACTATGTACATTTGGTAGTTTTTCAATATCTCAAGCTTTAGAAATTATTGTCTATTATGGTGATCAGTGATTAGTGATCTTTGATGTTACTACTTCAATTATGGAACACCGTGAAGTACACCCATATAAAGCAGTAAACTTAGTCGATAAATGATGTATGTGTTCTGATAGCTCCACTGATTGGCAGTGCCCTCTGCCCCATCATTCTCCTTCTGCTCAGGCCTCCCTATTCCCTGAGACACAATACTGAAATTAAGATAGCTAATACCCCTACAATTGGCTCTAGGTGTTCAAGTGGAAGAAATAGTTACACACCTTTCATTTTAAATCCTAAGCCAGAAATGATTAAGCTTAGTAAGGAAGGCCTGTAAAATTTGATACAGGCCGAAAATTAGGCCTCTTGTGAAAGTTAGCCAAGTGAAGGAAACTTAAAAGTGCTACTCCAATAAACACACAAATGGTAAGAAAGCAAAACAGCCTTATTGCGGTTAATGGAGAAAGTTTTGGTGGTCTGGTTAAAAAAAAAAAAAACAAAAAAAACTAGTCACAAGATTCCCTTAAGCCAAAACCTAATCCAGAGCAAAACTTTCTCTTCAATTCTGTGAAAGCTGAGAGAGGTGAGAAAGCTGCAGAATAAAAGTCTGAAGCTAGCAGAAGTTGGTTTATGAGGATTAAAAGGAGAAGCCATTTCCATAACATAAAAGTGCAAAGTGAAGAAGAGTGCTGATGTAGAGACTGCAACAAGTTATCCAGAAGATCTAGCCAAGATACTTGATGGAGATAGCTGCCTTAAACAAATGGCTTTCAATGTAGACAATACAGCTTTATATTAGAAACATCTGAAATCTAGAACTTTCATACCTGGGGAAAAATCAATGACTAGTTTCAAAGCTTCAAAGGACAGGCTGACTCTCTTGTTAGGGGCTAATGCAGTTGGTGACTTTTAAGTTGAATTCAACGTTCACACTGACCATTCTGAAAATTCTAGAATCCTTAAGAATTACTACTCTACCTGTGCTCTATAGATGGAACAACAAAGTATGGATGACAGCACACTGACTTGTTTACGGTATAGTCTACTGAATATTTTAAGGCCACTGTGAAGACTTCCTGCTCATAAAAAGATTCCTTTCAAAATATTACTACTCACTACCAACGACCTAGTTACCTAAGAGCTCTGATGGAGATGTTAAAATCATGGAGATTAATGTTGTTTGCATGCCTGCTAACACAAAACCCATTCTGTATCCTGAGTCAAAGTGTAATTTCAACTTTCAAGTCTTATAATTTTAAAAGAACATTTCGTAAGTCTATAGCTGCCATAGTGATTCCTCTGATAAATCTGGACAAAGCAAATTAAATACTTTCTGGAAAGGATTCACCTTTCTAGACGCCATTAAGAACATGTGTGATTTATGAGCGGAGGTCAAAATAGAAACAATAAGAATTTGGAAGAAGTTGACTCCAACCCTCATGGATGACTTTTAGGGGTTCAAGACTACAGTAGTGAAAGTCACTGCAGATGTGGTAGAAACAGTAAGAGAACTAGAATGAAAAGTGGAGCCTAAAGATGTGACTGGATAGGTGAAATCTCATGATAAAACTTGAACAGATGAGGAGCTTCTTCTTACTGATGACAAAAAAAGTGGTTTCTTGAGATGGAAGTTACTCCTGATGAAGATGCTGCGAACACTGTTAAAATGACAACAAAATATTTGAAATCTTATATGAACTTAGTTGACGAAGCAGTGACAAGGTTTGAGAGGACTGACTCAAATTCTGAAAGAAGTTCTGCTGTGGGTAAATGCTATCAAACTGTACTGGATGCCGCAGAGAAATTTTTCATGAAAGGAAGAGTCAACCGATGTGGCAACCTTCACTTCTGTCTTATTTTAAGAAACTGCCACAGCCTTCCCAGTCTTCAGCAGCCACCACTCTGGTCCATCAGCGTCATCTACAAGGAGACAAGATTCTCCCCCACCAAAAAAATTATGACTTGCTGAAGGCTCACATGATTGTTAGCATTTTTTGGCAATAAAGTATTTTTAGTTAGAGTATGTACATTTTTTTTTTTTAGACATAATGCTGTCGTACACTTAACAGACTATAGTACAACCGACTCTGGAACATGGGTTTGAACGGCACAGGTCCACTTATACCTGAATCTTTTTCAATAAGTTACATTGAGTGTGCCTGCCTCACTTGCCTTCCCTTCTACCTCTTCCACCTGAGACAGCAAGATCGACCCCTCCTCTACCTCCTCTTCTTCCTCAGCCTACTCAATGTGAAGATGAGGAGGATGAAAACCTTTATGATGATCCATTTAAAGGACAGTAAATGTTTTTTCTTCCTTATGATTTTTTAGTAACATTTTCTTTTCTCTAGTCATCTTTATTGTAGGAATACAGGATATATTACATAAAACATACAAAATGTGTGTTAACTGACCGCTTATGTTAATGGCAAGGCTTCCAGACAATAGTAGACTACCAGTAGTTAAGTATTAGGGAAGTTAAAAGTTATATTTGAATTTTTTGACTACGCTGGGGGTTGGCATCGCTAACTCTTGTGTTGCTCAAGGTTCAACCGTATAGTGTAAACATAACTTTTATATGCACTGGGACACTATGAAATTCATGTGACTTGCCATATTAGCTATACTGCAGTGTCCTGGAATCGAACCCACAATATCTCTGAAGTATGCCTGTAATTTGCACAAGATACAAAATGGTAAAATTTGAAGACTATTCATTAATTCAATAAATGACTTACTGAGTACTTACTATGTGTTAGGCACTGTTCTAGGAGTTAGGGATAAAGTAATGAGCAAAATAAACACAATCTTCTGCTTGCTCAAAACGTACAGGGTCATGACGGATTATAGCACTTTCAGCAACTGCAAGTAATAGTCCCATTTTATACTCAACTTAACTACATAACAAGAATAAAAATGGCCATACTAATATTGTGCAAACTCTATATACCCAATTCCAAAGTACATACAGGCTGTTTACTGGTATTACATAACTTACTTGAGTCCTATTATTTTGTTTAACCTCTAAAATATTTTAATAGCTTTAAAGTTTTTAAAGTCAAGTGAGTTCAATTGATAATGCTGAGTAAGAATCTTTGCAAAAAAAGAAAAAAGTGCTTCTTCCAATAGTTTCAATCAACTTTTAATTATGAAAAATGTCAAACATACACATGAATATAAGTGTAATGACATCTATATACCAACACCCAATTTTATTTCTGGGTGTCCATACAACTTTTGGTTTGGTCAGTAATTTAAATATGTCTCAGGTGTTATGCTTTCACGTGGGAATACTTTAGTATGCACTGATAACTGACAATGAACTTTAATATCCAGTCCATACTTAAATATATCCCACTGTCCACAACAGCATATTTTCAGTTGGTTTGTTCAAAGTTGAACTCGAACAAGGATCATCCCACATTGTATTTGGTTTTTGCATCTTCTTAAGCATCTTTTTTTTTCTGTAATGATCACTGCTCCCATTTTTTTTCTTTTCTCATGCAGCTGATTTGTTGAAATTGACCAACTGCTTTCTCATATCATCAAATGGGATCTGACTGGCTGCTTCCTTATTATGTCACTTAGTTTATTTTATTCCCCGAATTCCCTATTAACTGCTAGTAAGATTTAGAGACTTAGTTTAATCCAGCCTTGATTTTTTTGTATGCAGGAATTCTTTGTTGGTACTATTATATACTGTCTCTCGCATCACACTAGGAGGTACACAACGACTGACTGTCCCACTTTCAGATCAATGGGTTTAATCAGATCTCTGCATTATAAAATTTCCCATGAACCTATCATCTAACGGCTTTTACATCCAAGAATGACTGCTATCTAGATTCATTGCTTCATCAAAACTTTCATATTGATATTTTTTATGTCCATCATTTCTTTTGGACCTATTAGTTGGAAATTTTCTAAATTTTCTCAGTTACTGCTCACTGCCTAAAATAAAGTTCACACAGGAATGGCAGAATAAATACTACATTCTCTCCTTTATCAATCCTCAGACTTAAGAAACTGATCACCTAGAAAACTCTGAAGGTAACCAATGATTTTGTCTTCAAATATTCTTTTAATAGCTTTTACCCTTTTTTGTAGATGAAAAATTAGCCCAAACTAAAACACAATACTTCACAGTTACTGATAAACTGAATCTCATTTGATAATCACATTTCACAGAAAAGATAATTTCCATTACTAACATTTTCTCTGATTTAGTAATTAGTCCCCTTTACAATAACAGAAATAACTTGAATACTTTTGTGAGTGGGTATATCTCATGAAAATGAGTATTATGAAAAAACTTAGCATGGATTTAAAAATTTATTTTGCACCAATATAAACTTGTAATCCCTTGTTATAACATGTCTGAACAAGATCTAGTTTGAGGCACTAAGAAGGAAAAGACATCAGTTTGAAAAGAGCCCCTATTAGAGCTACACAAATGCTCCTAATATTTAAGCAAGAACAAACATTAAATTTATGGTTAAGTTTGAGTGGAAGAAAGAACGGTAAAATCATTGATGTTTTATGAAAAGTTTATAGGGATAATTCCCCACAGAAATCAGCAGTTACAAATGGGTAAACTCATTTTAAAAAGAGACAAGATGATGTTGAAGAATGAAGGCTGCAACAGCAAATAATTCACATCAATTTGCAAAAAAAAAGAAATTCATCTTGTTCGTACCCTAATGGAAGAGGACGAATGATTAACAATACCACAGACATCTCAGTTGGTAAAGTTGAAAAAACTTTCCACTCAATGGGTGCCAAAACTACTGCATCCAGATCAGCCACAGATAAAAGCAGAGCTTTCAATGGAAATTTTAAACAAGTGGGACCAAGATACTGAAGAATTTATTTGAAGAATTTTAACAGGAGATGAAACACAGATTGACCAATATGATCCTGAAGACAAAGCACATCAGAGCAATGGCTACCAAGAGGTAAAAGAGGCCAGACAAAGCAAAAATGGACTAGTCAAGAGCAAAGTTCAAAGCAATAATTTTTGGGGATGCTTAAGATATTAATATTATGCTGGTTGACTTTCTGGATGGAGGAACAAAGAACAATAAAATCTGCTTATTTTAGGAGTGTTTTGGGAAGTTAACCAAAGCTTTAGCAGAAAAATGCCTGGGAGACTTCACCAGAGTCCCCCTCCACCAGGACAATGCTTTCCCTCATTCCTCAAATCAAGCAAGTGCAATTTTGTGAGTTTTGATGGGAAATCATTAGGCATTAACCTTCCAGTCCCAATGTGGCTTCTTCTGACTTCTTTTTGCTTCTTCATCTTAAAAAAATCCTTAAAGAGCACCCATTTTTCTTCAGTTAATAACGTAAAAAGACTGCATTAATATGGTTAAATTCCCAGGACCTTTAGTTCTTCAGGGATGTACTAAATGGCTGGTATCATTACTTAAAAAAGAGTCCTGAACTTGATGGAACTTATGTTGAAAAACAAAGTTTATATTTTTATCTTTTAATTCAATTTTTCCCACAAACTTCTTGAAGTCCTCTCTTATATCAGTGAGCCAGAACTGGAGAGTTAGCTGGCTATTCTCCTAGTTCCAGGGCAACCAGTATAAATAGCAAAGAAGACAGCCTATCTATTCTATCCTGAATGACAAAAAATTAATATCTACTTATAGCCATGGTAAAAACAAAACATTTTTTGTTTGAGATAACATAAAGAACTGAGTTTCACACTGAACATATAAGTTAACATAGTTCCAAGCAACTTGAGAGAAAGAGACCCTTAACTTCTAAAGTCCGTAAAGGATCCCAGTTTTTCACAAAAACACGTCAAAATTTGACATGTGAATAAAAACATGAACAGAAAATTGCTTTTGCTTAACTTAGAAAGTTATGTTTCATCCTGTATTTTGTCTGCTTGGGATTAAAAAACAAAACAACTAACCTGGGTCCATTTATGGTTATCACTTGTTATTGAATGTACATCACAGATTAAAGTCTAGAAGAAATGAAATTTAAAAACTTATTAAGCTATGCACAAACATATGAAGACATTTAGTAAATAAAACTCCAACTAAAATCTAAAAAACTACTTAAACATTCCTTACCTGCATCGTTGGACGTAAAAGAATGTGCCTACTTTGGTAACCAGGAGATTTCATATTACTGGACTGCCTGTAGTCACGTATTTCTGCGATGACACATCCGCAATGAAAAATATTAACCTGTTTTAGGTAAAAATACTTAAGTAAATGTCATTTTTCAAAAGCCTAAATTAGTGGGTTTTTATCACACATTTCATATTCTTTACACACATGCAATTGATCATGCACATACTCTTCAACAGATTTCCTTGGTAAATTTAACACTGTATAAACCTTTTAAGAATTATATTTGTCACTATAACTTGAAGCAATTTGAAACTAGCCTAGTTATAGACTGGCTTTGGAATCTACAAAGTCAACAGATTCATTTGTGACATTTACATATTATTAAGGTTATGGGCCTTGGAATTGCTATTCTTCTTAAGCTCACTGGCTCAGGTATACTTTGCTAACTCTGTTGCTGTTACAAATTGCCAGTCAACCCCTATCAGAGCTCTAATTTCTAGATATAACGTCTATATTTGCTCTGCTTAAATTTTCAGAAATAAAACTTAACCTTTATTAATAAGAGGAGCAAAACTAACTATAAAATTCAAATGAAAAGTATTGTTTCCTGGTCCTTTCTTTACCCAAATATAAGAACACTTATCAATGAAATCTTTTTAATTATGACTTGACGTAGTCATTTATAGTACCATGTTTTTCAGCCATTCAGACCTTTTAGTGGGTACTGTCACCTCCATGATATTAGCCATTTTTATCCTCATTCTTTTTAATGAATATTTACTAAGCAACTACAATGTGCACTATGTGCTAGGCAACTATCTAAGAAACTTCGAAGATACATGGATGAGACAACACTTGCTCTCAGTGTGAGAAGACAGGCAACAAACATGTGAACAAACCAATAAAATTTTAGATAGTGATGGATGCTATAAAGGAAATGAAATAAGGAGGGGCTAATTTAGATTGTAAGCTCAGATAAAAACCCCTCTGAGAGAGTGATGTTTCTGCTGAGATCTGAGTCACAAGAACGGTAGATCATTCCAGACAGAAGGAACAGCAGATTAAAAGGTCTTTCTGTAGGCATAAGCTTGGAATGTTTTAGTATGGAAGAAAGGCAGGCTTTGTTGGAGTGTCACGAGTCAGGATGAGAATTAGGAGATGAAGACAAACAGGAAAGCAGGGGTTTTGTCCTGTAAGAGAGCATTGGAGAACTTCAAGCAGAGATATCTGCATTTTGTTTATCGTTCTTTCTTTTTGTTTTGTAAACTTAATCTGGCTGTCCAGGAATAACTGACTTGTGGGATTTTGGAACAAAAGCAGGGGGTATGGCAAAATAACCATGGCAGGTCATGACCATGTTTTAAAAAGAGAGCTGACATTTGCTGATGAACTAAATGTAAAAGGTGAGGGTAGGGTCACCCATTAGACTGAAGAGACTGATGGTGAAACTGGTTTGGGAGGTAAAACAAAAAGTTCCATTTTTATCTTGTTAGATTGGGGAATGTATTATCTATCCAAGTAAATAAACATGTAAGTTAGGTACTTTGGCAAAATGACCATGGTGAGGCACATGAGCAAGGAATTTAAGTAACATTTAAAAAACTCATGAAACTGGTTGAGATCATTCAAGTAAAGGGTCTTACTAAAGAATAAGCTGGGCATGGTGGTGTGTATTTATAATCCCAGCTACTCAGGAGGCTGAAGCGGGAGAACTGCTGGAGCCTAGGAGCTTGAGATCAGCCTGGGCATCCTAACGAGACCTTGTATCAAATATACATACACATAAAAGTGTGACTAAAGAAGAATAAAGAACCCCAAAATGTGCATATATTTATGTATATAGCAGAGATGACAACAAAGAAGATTGAAGGATTAGAGAAGGAAGTTGAAAGCCAGGAATGTGATGTCGCAGATCAAAAGAAGGGCGTTTCAAGGTGAAAAGCAGTTATTTGCACTTAACGGTGCCAAGAGACCAGTTAAGGTGAGAACAGAAAAGTGACCACGTGATTTGGTGCAATGAGGATCACTGGTAACTTTGACAAGAGCAGCCTCTGTAGAATGTCATAATGCCAAACGAGGTAAGTGGAGGAAAAAAATTGAATATGAAAAAAAGGAGATGATTATGGACAATTCTTTGAGCAGTTTTGCTGTCAAGAGGAAGAGAATTATAGAGCAGTAGCTAGAGAAACACACGTGGTCATGAGATGATTTTTTTCCTTTATGTTGAGAGATGCAACCTGAAATCCAAAATGTTCTAATAAACACTTAAGAGTATCACGGTGGTGCTCAAAAATTCTGATTTAAAAGCATTTTGAAGTTTCAGATTCGAGATGCTCAACCTGTAGTAGTTTGCTTGCATTCTGTATTTAGTAGAGAAAGAAAGATAGAATAGAGGGAGGTTATAATTGCAAGTTCTGGAGAAGGAAGGAGAGGATCCAGAAATCAAGTGGAGGGAAAAGATGCCTTAGGAACATGGCATATTTCAATCATCTTAACAGGAAGGCAGGCAGGAAGTGTGGAGAGCTGTAGGGATGCTAGTTAACTGGTGCTAGAAGAAAACAGGAGTTTTGTGACAGTTTCTTTTCCCTCAGTGAAGTACAAAGTATGGCACGGTTAAGTCAAGGCAATAAGAAGGAATGAGTACAGGTTCAGAGAGTGCTTACCTAGGCTGGCTATGATGAGACATACAGATGTAAAGGCCAGTTTCTGGCCAAGTGAAAAACTTCATAAATATTCAAAGTTGTTTTTTTCATAATTTCTTGATTGTAACTATAGGGAAATTTCCAATTGATGAGCTAACTGTCATAGTAATTTTAAAAGAACGAAGTCTAGAACTAAGTACAGCATAAAGGTTAAATATCCCACAATAAATCAATTTCCATATAGCTAAATAATGTCTCATTTCATTTTCTGAACACTGTTGGGAACACTGGTAAAGATCAAATATCACCTATCACAAGATACTATATACTTGTAAATATCTGTATATCTACATATAAGTGTGACACACACACACACACACACAAATATTATATACATATGACAAACATAAGGACATTTTAAAGAGAAAAATTTTGTACCTGAGATTTTTCTAGGAGATCAACCAAAATAGGAGGTAATTCTTCTGCATCCAAGTATTCAAGCAATTCCCCTTCCTCATAAGGCAGTCGGATGGTCTCAGAATCTTAATTTTAAAACATAAAGTTTGAAAATGATCAGACTCACTGAAAAGTTTAGTTGTCTAAGTTAAATGACTTTTCATAAAAAATGTAATAAAACCAAAAGGTTCTACCCTAATGTCCTTCTTTATTTAAATCTTACAAATAAATCACATTACATTATTGCTAAAAGACTTGTTAACTGTATAAAATTTTATATCATAAAGAAAAAAAATCTAACACATTATGGAAAAACATCTGATATAACATCATAATCCAGCTGAGTACAATGGCTCATGCCTGCAATCCCAGCACTTTGGGAGGTAAAGGTGAGAGGATTGCCTGAACCCAGGCATTCGAGACCAGCCTGGGCAACTTGGCAAGACTTCATCTTTACCACAAAAACAAACAAACAAACAAACAAAAAAACACAATCTAAATCACAGCCAGAATCAAAATAATCAGAATCTGATAAAATTCCAACATCAAAGTAAATGAAGTTCATTGAGAAACGATTAATCAGGAAATCAAAGTGATAATTTGGCACTTCATTTGAAAAATGGCTGCTTTTAGAACAAAATTCTCTTGGTGTTACTTTAATTATCAACACAAGAAAAAAATCTGAAACAGGTGAGTTCCTTGTAGAACTCATATCATCAAATTTTTAGATGCCTTTTTAGTAAAATCTAAGCATATTTATATTTTAAAATTATTTTCATATTCACATTAATAGAAATACATCTAATATACAAAAATTAATCAAAAGGCAGTAAGTCCACTTAATTTTCAAGATTTCAGACTCACAAGTATATCCAAAATGCAGAAGAAAAACATACTTTAAAACATACTTTAAAACATCTTATACTAATGGATACTGGAGACTCAGAAGGGAGAAGGAGGGGAGGGGAGGAAAGACAAAAAAAAATCACCTATCAGGTACAATGTGCATAGATGAGGGTGGAGGGTACACTTAAAGCCCAGAAGAAAAACTATTTGCATTCCCTAAAGCTATTGAAATAAAAATGAAAAAACATCTTATACTATATTAAAACATAAACAGCAACAAAATGAAAGAAAATTTAACAATCATTTAAAAGTTATGCATTTTATAATTTAACCTCAAAACACATATCAGAACACTTTTCAAATGCATATTCAGGAAGGATAACTATTACAGATAGAAATTTCTAAACGGAATCAAAATCTGCTTTTATCACTAAGTCATCGCAGATCTGAAGGGCATATAGGTAAATAACTTTTTAAAAAACAGCACATTCTGCCTGGCAGAGGTAATTTGTGGCAGCTGCGCTCTGGAGGGTCTTACCTGATCCATTTTTTCCCCTGAGCATCAGAGAATATCCCTCATTTCCTGGGTATAGATTGACCACTAAGCATGACAAAGTCTCTTGCATAACAAGTTTCTCTAACAAGTTCACATTTCTTCTTAATTTCTGCTTTAAAAAGAGGCAGAGCTCATGAAAATAATTCAGTATAACCTTAACAAATAACTTAATAAAATCAGACCTGAAGTAATCTTTTAGTGTTCCTTTCACATTATGTTCCAGAATATATGGGAAGGTTCACAAAACTATAGCCACTATGTATGAGACAGTTATGTAAACTTAATTTTGATTTACGACTATGTTTTATGCACATTAATTTATATAAAAAAATTGGCAATCTATAAAATAAAAATATGTATTTAAATAAAATACAAGCCAGGCACAGTGGCTCACACCTGTGATTGTAGCACTTTGAGAGGTGGAGGTAAGAGAATTGTCTGAGTTCAGGAGTTCAAGATCAGCCTGAGCAATATGATGAGACCTCATCTCTACAATAAATCAAAAATTAGTTGGGTGTGGTAGCACATGCCTGTGGTTTCAGCTACTTGGCAGGCTGAGGAGGAAGGATCACTTGTGCCCAGCAGATCGAGGCTGTAGTGGCAGGCAGCATGCCAATGCACTCTAGCCTGAGCAATAGAGTGAGACTCCAATTCAAGAAAATAAATAAAATATTTTAAAATGTAAATATATAAAATACAGATGGATATAATCAGTTTCTATTAAGTGTAAGTCTAAATGAAGAATTTGGAGCATTCTTTTTGGTTGTACAGTAACAAGTGCACAATTCTTATTTATAGCCTAAATAAGACACAAGCTCAACAGTTCTGAAATGTTGAACCTAAAAACATCTAATAGTTGGCCAGCCTTGGTGGCTCAGCCCATAATCCCAGCATTTTGGGAGGCTGAGGCGAGTGGATTGCCTGAGCCTGTGGGTCGAGATCAGCCCAGGCAACTTGGCGAGACCTTGTCCCTACAATAAATTTAAAAATTAGCCAGATGTAGTAATGCGCTCCTGTAGTTCTGACTACTTAGAAGGCTGAGGCGGAAGAAGCCGGGGTCCAGCAGGTTGAGGCTAGGGTGGCTGTGAGTGTGCTACGGCACTCCAGACTGGGCAACAGAGTAAGACTCCAACTCAAAATATATATATATATATATAATTGTTAAGAGGAAGTAAATAATTGGATAATTTTCTCTAAATTCAATTAAAATTCAATTCTAAATTTAACAGCACCTCAGAAGGCACTTTGTTTTAAAAAACCCACCAGGAAATATAATGGATATATATATAGCAAAATCCATGATTTTAAAAATTCATGATTTAAAATAAAACCCATTTATAGATATAACAAATTCTTTCATCAACTCTTAGAAAAGATATGTCAAAAGAACATTTATTTTTACAGGATCTCAATAAACACATAGGTTTTCAGTATCTCATATATATTAAATATAGTATGTTAATATATACTAACATACACATACAGCCATATATAGAAATTATAAATTCTTGATCTATCACCACAGAATCAAAACACTAAGCAATCTGAAAATGAAAAAAATGCCTAACAACTTTTAACCACTTTAATATTAAAAAAAAAACTAGTAAGGAGAGACCAAAAATTTTAGTCTTTGCAGTGCAGGAAAAAATTCTCATAATTTGACTTAAGACAGAATTAGGCAAATTCTGACAGTACATATACCTCTTCAAGAGAATTAACTGGCTACCACTCAGTTGATCCCAGTTACACTAGAGGTTGGAAAATTTTTCTTGAAAGGCCAGACAATACTTTAGGCTTGTGTGCCATGTAGTCTGTGTTGCAAATACTAAACTTGCCTTTATACCTCAAAAGCAGCCCTAGATGATACATAAACCAACAGGTGTGTTGGGTTCCAATAAAAATTCATTTACAAAAACAAGCAGTAGAACAGATTTGGCTGGTGGACAGTGCCTTGGCTAACCCCAATTTTGAATCTGCAAGTATGTATATCTCCTTAATTCTTTTACTGAGGCAAGGAATATGTACATTATATTGACTGTGGTTAATGGTTTCACAAGGTGTATACATCTGATATTCACATGTCAAAACTTAAATATACATTTAAACATGTACAACTTATTGTATGTCAAGTGCATCTACCTCAATAAAACTTATAAATAAATCTTTCAGTATGTTTTCCATAAGTCTAACAATCACTTTTCCTAATGTAAAGATTTTAAAGGTTAGACACACTTCTGGAATTCCACTATTTTCTGCCTATTGGTAAAATAGTATACATTTTTAAATTAAAGATAGACAACAGAAGCTCATAGACCTTTAAGGCACTTTCAAACCTGAGGATTCAAAAAATATCAAGAGTCAAGGCACAGAGGTGCATGCCTATAATGCAGCTACTTGGGAGCCTGAGGCAGGAGGATCACCTGAGGCCAGGAGTTCAAGACCAGCCTGGGCAACACAGCGAGACCTTTGTCTTAAAAAAAAAAAAAAAGGGGGTATCAAGAAACCAATTTCCATTACATTTCTACTGCCCATAACTTTATGTTAAATAAAAATGAATTAAGTTAAACTGGCCATGAACTCACTTTATAACAAAGTTTACCTTTTATTAACTTCCTACATATCCTATAACAGTTTTGACTTTCCAGTGGAAATCACTTGAAGGAAACAGTGTCCTTTTCTCCTGTCTTAAGTGTACAAATCACTTCTTAGGGGAAAAAAGAAGTAAAAGATAATATATACCATGGCTTTGCTTATGACCTCTAAGTGAGATATTCTGTTACTCAGTAAACACTGCTACTCTACGCCTACCTCATCAGGTGATCTCTGCCTGGTACTAGACTAGCCAGGATTCTGGGTCAGCTGAATAAGGGACTAGAGTCTGGTTAAAAAAAATGTTAGATCACTAACAAAAAAATAATTAATTAAATGCTTCAAATGTAACTCTTCCAAATTTCTCTCTTTGTCTACATTTCAAATGCCACAATACCATAAAAAATTTATAATTACCTTAACTTCAGGCTCTTTTTCACATTCTTCAATATACAAGTCATACAGTTTTTGAAATACAGATTTTCTAAAAAAAAAAAATTTAATAAAAGACAACATACTAGTGTTATTACAGTAATCATGAATCAAATGTTATTTTAATTTTTTCTCTTAATTTTTACAGACTTTCCCCCAATTCTCCAAACATTGTGGTGGAGTTAGATATTATCATTAACATCACACCTTAGAAATTCTTAATATACACAAAGAACCTAACACATTTCTAGCTTTGTGCCTTGTACAAATGCAATAAACAGTGGCTATCATGAGAGTTCAATGGATCTAAGATGTTACTGATAAAATAAGTATTCATACCTTCCACTTGATAGGTATTTCCTTTTAGGAGGTCTCTGTCGGGCACTTTCAATGACATACTAAAAAAGAAAAGTTTGTGAAAACAGCTTGCTTTTTGCTTTCATATATGGACAACTGTATTGAGTATATCTCAATCATATGTAAGGTTAAAAAAAGCTATTCAGTCACTTAAGTCCCTGATTTATGTCAAATTATATCTTGTAGGAAAAATGGCAACTTCCAAATATATGTAACAAACAAGTGAAATTTAATCTGCACTAAAACTTAGCACAGTATTTAACTGTCCTAAACAAAATTATACAGTTTCACAACTGTGATTTCATAGGTCAGAAATATTTTCAATACATTTTATGGTTGTTCAGAAGATGCTTAATGTATGAAAAATCATATATCTAATTGTAAGGATTCTATATTTTGTTTTAGCTATTTTATCCTTTGAGTAATCAGAAAACCTGTCAAAACAGGAAAACATAATTTTAGAAATTCTATGTTCTTGTTCATAGAATTTTATTCTATAGCAATATTATCTAAAGATTCCAAGTAACAGGTGATGTAAATATTACCTGGCATTTTTACATATTTACAGCAAAAATTATTTCTATACTTGTCCTAAAGTTATATTAATGTACTCCTTTGAAAATTACATACAAAAATCTTTTAAAAGTGAGTTTTTGTCAATTAAAGACAACACTATTTCAATACGTAACTTAGTCACGCCTCACCTCTGCACGATCCAAAGCTAGTTCTAAAGCTTGTTGCTGTAAAAAGTAAATAGTGTATTTGGTAATATTAGTTACTTTCACCAAACAATAATTAAATACACATTTAACATTTCTAATTATTTAAATGTTTCATTTCTAAAACAGGTCTAATGTATTTTCCTTTATTTTTCTCCTCCACCCCACTATATGAACCACATAAGTAACAAAGAAAAAATATGGCAGTCTGGCTCACCTGGTTATGGCAACAAACTAAATAAGAAATGCTAAAATGGTGTCTTTGGTCAGTGATTGTGAGGCTGACATACGAGAGAGCTGAATATGGTGGCTACCATCACTTTATAAACTTTAATTTATAAGAGCACCATTCAAGAAAATATATTGGTCATAAAGTATGTAATCAAAGTGAAACAAAGACTACTCTCCTAATCTGCTAGAAAACTTAAAAACTGAGAGTAGGGTAGTAGCGGTACCTTACAGCAGCTTAGAAAATCTTAAAACGCTAAAGCAAAGAAACTACAATGAACATCTTTAGCTCAGAAGGAATGCACTTAGAAGGAATGCAATAAATGATGGCTACCATTACCATGTTCCAATGAATTTAAGATGTCATTGCAAGCATGCAACATTTTCAGTAACATTTAAAAAAGCTGTCTCAGCAACATGGCAAGACATCGTCGCTACAACAAATCAAAAAATCTGCCGGGCGTGGTGGCATATGCCTGTGGTTCCGGCTACTTTGAAGGCTGAAGCGAAGATCACCTGAGCCCAGCAGGTTGAGGTTACAGTGGCTGTAAGCATGCCACTGCACTCCAGCCTGGGAAACAGACTGAGACTCCATCTCAAAAAAAAAAGAGAAAAAAGACAACAAAAAGGCTGTCAATTATAATTGTAAGATGTCATTAACTATAGACTCATCATCAATTCATTAATATTAAAATTAAAAAAGCATCTTAGAATTGGTGAAATAGAGTATTATTACTACATGTTAAGGTTTGAGATCTAGTAACAGATCCCTATTCTTCATCTACTTCTAAGAGACCCTTCTTTTAAGGCAAAGAGGGAGAAATAAGAGAAGGTACGATATATCCTCCTCGTTTGTAAGGGTTTCTTTTCTAATGACACATATGAATAAAAAGTACAGGTTATAAACAAAGTTAAATGGCTATAACACTAGTGATTTCTCTTTCTAGTTTTTTGTTTTGTATACAATGTAGAGTTACAGTATTTTTCATTCAGTGACATTTTAAATTTTCATTCATGAGGACCTAAATTCTTCTATTTTATTTTGAAGATTCCAGTAATTTAACCTACCAAGCTGCATATGGTAAAAACTCCTAGCACCTGCCAAAACCCTAGGAGGGTAGAGAGAATAACAAATATTGCCACCTTTTGGAAATCACAGGAAGTTTTAAATGAACCCTGCCACTCTAGGTCTAAGGATGGAAAATTTGTATGATTACACAAACAGTTGGCTTTTAAGACTGCAATAATAACAACCCACATTATCAAATATCTAAATATAATAAGTGAAGAAAGTAAAATTTGCTATCATTTCAAAAGGTTCAGTTATAATAAGTCTATATCAATTCACTTTATTAACAAAATCTTGGCTGAGCAGAGTGGCTCATGACTGTAATCCACTGCTTTGGGAGGCAAAGGTGGGAGGACTACCTGAGGCCAGGAGTTTGAGACAAGCCCAGGCAAGCAAGACCATGTCTCTACAAAAAAAAAAAAAAATCTTACAAGGAACAGAATCCCAGTGAAACTGGTTCCCAGGATTCAAGATAAGATTCCAGAATATAACCTATTTTCCAGGATGAAAATAACACTAGATGCATACTCTTGACAAACACATAGGTTCTTTTAAATTTTGGTCATTAAACTTTAAAGTAATTTTATACTCAAAAAGTATAATAAACACAATGAAATATATCTCTAGAACAATTTTAAATAGTCAGTCATCTCAAGTAAATATTTCATCTTCTGTAATGTAAACTTCAAAAGGTCTTGTAAGGTGTATCTGCATATGTAAACACAAGCATCATTCATTCACTACCTCCTTTACATACTTAAGAAGGAAATAATTAGATAATAGAGATGCAAAATATAGAGTGAGATCAGAACCTCACTGTGACAGTTCCACTTTTCTCTAATAGGACAGGGGTTAATAAGAAATGAAAGAAGACAAATATTTTTTGAGGTTTGTACTGCAGAACAGGGGTTAACTGAATGAATGAATAAAGACATAATGATCAATGTTCATTTATTCTCTGTCCTTCTTTAAAACATTAGAACATATTTTCTCCTTCTAGTCTTTAATTTTTTAATGGAAAAGGTGACTATTTAGTGACTAAGTCAGTAAACAGAAATGTACCATTAAAAGACTGGCACTTGCTCGATTCAGCAGCACATAAATAAAAATTGGAACTAAAATAGGATACAGAGAAGATTAGCATGGCCCCTGCATAAGGATGACATGCAAATCTGTGAAGCATTCCACAACATAAATAATAAATAAGTAAATATAAGAAGGTTGGCACTGATGCTGCTTAAAATGTCACATGCAATGAGCAAGTTACATTTGCTTTTAAATTTAAAAAAATCTAAATAAAGGGGATCTTTAAAAAATGAGAAACTGCTGCTCCCCAAAGCTATTTGTAGTTATACTTATCCTCCTTGACAATGATTTAGAATATGATAAACAAAAGTAAATATTTTTAATACTTCATAAATGTAAGGACAGATAGATGGATTATCTATGTAACTTGGATACAATCATAACATCAATTTGAGAGGCTACATATTTTATAGTGAAGATTTTACATATGACTGCTAAACAACTTTCCAGTTAGGATAATTTGCACAGCTTACAAGAGTATTTCTGAATAACAATATAAATATCTTTATGAAGATGAGGGAAAAGAACATTCTAAAACACAAATCTGAACTTACTGAGCTGGAGCTTACCATTGTGGCACAAAATATGGGTCCAAAAAGAAGAGAAAACTTATGTGTGTTGAAGTAGGGTGAAAACCATGTCTTGAATATCGATCTTAAAGTACTGTAAAAGTAAAAACAATAAACCCCAATATTAACATAAGGCTATTAAGAGAAAGAAATGAGATTACATATTTAATAATTAACAAGGAAAATTACTTGAGGCACACTGTTTAATAATGTGTAACAATAAAATTCATGTATCACAACCTAGCCACTCTAACTAGGTAGGGCAAAACATGCTTGCAAGTTAAAATCATTACTCACTTTCTCCAAAAATATTCAGCATCCCTGGAGAGAAAAGAATAAATGTTTTTGAATCTTTTCTCTACCACCACTGTTGCTGTTCTCATTGTTCCTCTGAATTATTCCAACAGCCTGCCCACTGGCCTTGATCACATAAGTTCACTTTATAAATCATAGATTTCATCACGCCTGCAGATACAAAATCCTCTAATGATACTCCCCCAAATGACCCAGGCTACATTTTCCAGATGCAGCTTCTATCCCTCTAGTCCCTCCCCTCCTCAAGCAAACTAGACACTCCTGAAGAAAGCCCTCTTTCCTGTAACACAAGAGTTCTCATCTGTGAAGCTTTAAACAGTGGGGTGCCCTTGACCAACCTCCGAGAGATTCTGATTAAGTGTCCTGGAGTGGGTCACAGGGATAAGCATTTTGGGGGCTTCTCCAGGTGAAGCAAAGGTGCTGCCAGGGTTGAAGCCCACTCTGCCTAGCACAGAGAAGGTGCATAATGTTTACTCTGAGAGTAACGATACATAAAGCTTATTATTTATCTAACTCCATGTAACCACCACTTGTCTGTCTACACAGCTGAACCAAAACACCCAGGCATAACAGTTTGTTTTGTTTTTGGTGAGCCCCAAAACTTAGGTTTTTGTCAGTACAAGTTAAAAAAAAAAACTGAAAGAAAAAAATATTTTAAAACCAGGCAAAGCTCCGAATATATCACAGACACAAGTTCTAATAATAATCATTTTTAAAAAATGAATAAGATATTAATCCTATCCTTGAAGAGCTCATAGGAAGTTAAAGTTAAATTTAGGTTAAAGTGAAAAATTTCTGACTACTGGATTTAAAGGTGAAGATATACTAATTACAAGCAAAATGTGATGATTTAAGGATTCTTGTCACTAAACTGGGGAAGGAGTTTAGTAACATTAACTTACTTAGGTTTTTCAGGCAAAAACTACTAACTTCATAAATATATCTCTTTCAAAGCAAACATTATGACTCTATGCAAAAGATATTAAACCCTGTGAGAAAACCACTGGAATCACATTATCATCATCGTCATCTCCATTTTACATAAGACGTTCAGAACAAGTGACATTCCCAAGACCACTTACCTAGACTGGTATTCAGAATTCTCTCCATTTCTAATCCTAGGTTCTTTGTAATAATTCAGCCTTTAGACCACTCAAACCAGCGCCCGTTTTTAGGTTTTTTTTTTAAGCAAAGCATTTATTTATTTATTTACTTATTTTATTTTAATTTATTTTTTTGAGTCGGAGTCTCACTCTGTCGCCCAGACTGGAGTGCAGTGGCCGCTCCCGGCCACCGCAGCCTCGACCTGCTGGGCTCCGGCGATCCTTCCACCTCAGCCTTCCAAGTAGCCGGAACTACAGGCATGCGCTACCACGCCCGGCTGATTTTTTGATTTATTGTAGAATGAGGTCTCGCTGCCCAGGCGGGTCTCGAACCCGCGGGCTCAGGCAATCCACTCACCTCAGCCTCCCAAAGGCGGGGATTACAGGCTGAGCCACCGAGCCCGGCAAAGCAAAGTATTTAAATTAAGAATCCGATTCTGCTCAGAGACTCATAGAATTCTTTTGTCCTTAATTTTGATCTAACTTTATGTCATGGTGATCAATCATACACTGTCCTCAATCTAGGCAATCACTTTATATTTTGAGTCCTATTAGGGACCTGGACGTATTATACCCAGAAAAACGCTGCTCCCCCTTCCAACCCCCACAACTATGCGGCGGCTACTGGCTACTGGTGGCTTCCAGAGGCAGCTATTCCCCAAGTTCATTTCTGAACGCCCGGTAGACATGGTGAGGAACAGCAATTAATTCATTTCTAATCGCCGCCACCAATTCCACTGACTTCCCTGATCGACCTGAGTCTTCCAACAGTGCGAGCTTCTGTAACAACTAAGGACTTACCTGTAAAACGCCGCCGACCCCAAAGCGGAGCTGCCAGCCTTTATTCAATATGGACACCAAGAAAAACCGCCTCCAGAGAAGCGCTACGCAAAATCCTTGCGAACTTCTGGAAACACCTGTATGTGGAACCCAAAAGTCAAACTAAAATTAAAAGTCTGGTTTAGCAGCACCGCGAAATGCAACGGAAGTGTCCGCCGCGGGGAGAGCTGGCTCGGCCCGCACCTAGGCCCGCCGGGGCTGTGGGGACACAGTCTTCCTCCGGCGACTCCAGGAAGCGACCTGCTCACCTCTGACCTCTGCCAGACCTCGCGCGCCAAACCCGCCGGCTTATCAGCCGCGGGAGCGTACCACTCACCTGCAGTCGCCCACCTGAGTCGGCTGCCGCAGCCCAGGGCCCCGAGACCCGGCCGCCGGATCGGCCGCAAAGCCCACCAGCCGACAGCCTGTTCCGGCGTCCGCACTTCCGACTGGCGGGCAGGGCCGGGGGGGCGGGGCGGAGACCGGAAGGGGTGGAGCCGGTAGGGCGGGGCCGCAGCTGGGCGATTCTGGCGCCGGGGGCGGGGCGAGTTGTGCTGTGCGAAGCCTCTGGGAGGTTCCGGTGGGATGCTAGGTCTGGCCTGCTAGCGTCTACTCAGGTCCAGCGTTCACATCCACGCAATGGGCAGAGGGCTGTAGGTGTTATTTGGGGGAAAGGCGACCCTGTTTAATTTCTAGAGTGAAAGAAACTTGGAACTAGCTTTCTTTTTGCCCAGCCCATCCACTTGGAAACAGAGCGACACCATTGCCTACCTTGACTACTCCCATCCTTGCAACCTTCTATAGCCTATGAAATTATAGTGGGTTTAACTTTTTAAAAAAATCATCCTCGGCCGGGCGCGGTGGCTCACGCCTATAAGCGCAGCACTTTGGGGGGCTGAGGCGAGAGGATTGCCTGGACCCACGGATTCAGAAATACGGTTTCTGAATTTTTAGAACCCGTCCTCTGGGATGATTTTTTTTTTTTTTTTTGAGTTGGCGTCTCACTATGTCTCCCAGGCTGGAGTGCAGTGGCACGCTCCCGGCCATCGCAGCCTCGACCTGCTGGGCTCAGGCGATTCTTTCACCTCAGCCTTCCAAGTAGCTGGAACTACAGGCGCGTGCCACCACACCCAGCTAATTTTTTTATTTATCGTAGAGATGAGGTCTCACCAAGTTGCCCAGGCTGGTCTCGAACCCGCGGACTCAGGCAGTCCTCTTGCCTTGGCCTCCCAAAGTGCTGGGATTACAGGCTTGAGCCAACGCACCAGGCCTCTGAGTTCTATTTCTAACCCCCTAGGTCTGACCTCTGTTGTCCTTTAAAGTATCACTCCCATGGTTTCATTCTGGTCTGCTGTATTCTCACCTGAATGACCAAAGTTCCCTGCTACCTGTGCTTCCTGCCTTCTATCTCATTTAGTGTCTCCCACTCTCAATCTTGCTCATCAGCCGCGGGAGCGTTGCTTAAAAGAAGTCTTTTTTCCCTCATAACTTAAAAAAATTGGACAAATGATACATGAAATAATTAAAAAATCAAACAGTGCAAAAATGCATAGCAATAAAAAAGTGAGTCTATCATTGTAATAACAGCTCACTGCAGCCTTGGACTCCTGGAATTACAAGTGTGAGCCAATGCCCCTGGCCTAAAAGTGGTCTTTGCAGGTAGTTTGGATCCTTAACTCAGAGCCTTCTGAAGATTATTGCCCATGCTGGTCTTGAACTCCAGGCCTCAAGCTGTCCTCCCATCACGGCTTCCCAAAGTGCTGGGATTTACAGGCGTGAGCCACAGAACCCAGCCTGTCATTCAGTTTTAATAAATTTGTACAAACCATAAAAAATCCCCACAAATCTAAAAGGAACTAAATTTCCATCAAAAAGTGACTTGAATAAATCATGGAAGGGCAGCATAGTGATGCAATCTGTGGCTGTGAAAAGGAGTGAGGAATCTCTCTCTGACATATGCAGTATTGTGATGTGAAAAAAGCCCCACACCTGTACTAAGCCCTGGTTCATCTTAGTGGGAAAGTAGACTGCAACCTGGGCATTAGTAGTGTTCATAGCTACCAAATTAGTCATAGTTTCTAGGAATTTCAGCAGACAGAGCTAGGAGACAAACGTAAATATAAGTATAAATAAAAATATAGGCCAGGTGTGGTGGCTCACGCCTGTAATTTCAGCAATTTGGGAGACTGAGGTGGGAGAATTTCTTGAGTCCAGGAGTTCGAGACCAGCCTGAGCAACATAGTGAGACCTTGTCTCTAAAAAAAAAAAAAAAAAAGCCTGCGTGAAAAAAAAAATTAGCCTGGGTGGTGGTGTGATATGCACCTGTAGTCTCAGTTACTTGAGAGGCTGAGGTGGAAGGATCACCTGATCCCAGGAGGTCAAGGCTGTAGTGAAACATGACTGTACGTACTCACTCCACCCTGGGCAACAGAATGAAACCCCGAATTTAAAATTTTTTAAAAAACCTTAAAAAATAGGAATATATGATAACACACATTATATATCATAATATAAATCATGAACTCCTATAGACAGTTCAAATAAAATTCAGTATTATAGGGTTTTTATTAAACCTCTTGATCTTACATCTATATGGCCTTTTTTCCCACACACTGAAAATGCTGGTCTCCAACTGCGTCAACATAATGATGCATTGTCTTACCCCATGTAACATTTACAAATCTCAGAATAACATCAAGACTACCACTAAAAATATATCACTGAAACATTGAACACATTTTTCGAAGACTATTTTTGTCCTTAGAGTATAACCACTAGAGATGCAAATAAAAGTTACATGCTTCTTAAGCCATTTAAACTAATTTCTTTCTAATTGGTTATGTCAAACATGATACAGAGATATCTTTATTTTTGCTTTTGTTTTTAGGAATTGTGCTGCTTGTAATTTATTTTTCTAAGGTATGTGAAATAATTGTATGGTTGCAATTCAAATCTACAAAACAAGGTTAAACTCAGTGAAATCCAGCTTCTATTTTTGTTTCCTCATTCGATCTTTTCGTCCTCTATAGTAGCCATCTTATTTTAGTTTTCTGGTTTATTCTATATTATTTAATGTAATATGCAATACAATATAGATAAATATATAGATGAATATCTATATTCCCTGTTACTAATACTAATTAAAAATTGGTAAATAAAGGGATGAAATTAATCTTGTATCCTGTTTTTTGTTTTTTGTTTTTTGGTTTCTTTTGAGTAGGAGTCTCACTCTGTCGCCTAGGCTGGAGTGCAGTGGCATGCTCATGGTCACCACAGCCTTGACCTGCTGGGGCTCAGATGATCCTTCTGTCTCAGCCTTTCAAGTAGCTGGAATCACAGGTGCGTGCCACCACCTCCAGTTAATTTTTTAATTTATTGTAGAGACGAAGTCTTGCCATGTTGCCCAGCCTGGTCTTGAACCCCTGGACTCAGGCAATCCTCTCACCTCTCCCTCCCAAAGTGCTGGAATTACAAGCGTGCGCCACTGCACCCGGCTATATCCTGTTCTTTGAACTGTGTTGTACCTCAAGGGATTCAGTTAATTGAGTAGTAATTGTTACTTCCCCCGTCTTTATTTTATTTTAAGTATGTGGAGTACAAGTCAGGATTAGGGTAATTGGTCTATGTATAGGTCAGTGTTGAAGTTCATGAATGGAAGGCAATTGTACTCTTTTTTTTTCTATTTTTGCGTAAATTTGAAATTTTTTATAATAAACATTTACTATAGTTCCATCTCAGAGGTCTTACTTCTTTTCCCCAGGGACCTCTGTTAACGCCATGTTTATTTAACTTTCCATTCATTTTCTATGCATATACAAGACTTTGTGTGTACATACATGTTTCTGATGCATAACCTTACTTTTTCATGCAAATGGGAAAAAAAGCATACCCACCATTCTGTGCTTTTTTTTTTCCTCCCATGACAAAAAATATTTTGGAATTCTTTCCATATCCAGCACATATTTCTGACATATGCAGTCATGCTGTTGGATGATTGTACCATAACTGGTTTAAGATAGATTTTTATTGTCGATATTTAGATTGTGCTTTGTGTCTTGCTGTTACAAAGAGTCATTCAATGAATATGCTTATACATAATTTTTGTTCCTATATGAGACTGTATTCGTAGAATAAATTGCAAGTATAAATACTGCATCAAAGGATATACATGCTTTAAATTTTGTTAGATACTTGCAGAATATTCCTTTATAAGCTTATACCAACAAACACGTCCAAGAGTATTTATTCCTTCCCTCTGTCACCAAAACTCTGTTATTAAACTGTTTGATCTTACCTGTACAATGTTCACTTGAATACCTAATCCTGAATTGTACCCCAAATCTTTTTTATTTTTTATTGAGTTGGAGTCTCACTCTGTCGCCCAGGCTGGAGTGAGTGCAGTGGCACACTCACAACCACCCCAGCGTCGACCTCCTGGGCTCCAATGATCCTTCGCCTTCAGCCTTCCAAGTAGACGGAACTACAGGTACACACTAGCACACCCAACTAATTTTTTATTTATTGTAGAGACGAGGTCTCGCCAAGTTGCTGGACTGGTCTTGAACCCGTGGACTCAGGCAATCCTCTTTCCTCGGCCTCTCAAAGTGCTGGGATTACAGACTGAAACACCAAGCCCGGCCTGTACCCCATATCTTTAAAATAAAATATATTTTAAAAAACTCTTTGATCTTGCCAGTCCATATGGAAGTTTTTGATTTAATTCACATTTAAAAAATTATGGGTGAAGGTGAACCTTTTTCATATCTTCATGACATCCCTCCCCCATTGTTGCCTTATGTGTTTCTACTCAAGTGTTGTAGCTGGAAAAAAACACTAACCTTTCTTTCCTGCTATCCTACTGTGAATGGGTTCAGTGCTTCAACTATGGGCTCCATGACTTCCTATATCTTCTATCATCACTTATTCTGGAATATAATTGTCTTTCTCCTTTGTTTGGTCTTGAGTACTATCCGATAAAAACTGAATTATCAAAGGGCTGATAATCTGTATTGCGTACCACTAACATCCAAATTAACATGATATTAAATACTCATTTATTATTGCAGTACATTTCTCTGGGTGGTCTTGGTTCAACCCAGTTCTTTCCACTTTCTCACTTGTAGTTCTCAAGAATAACTGGTGGCTCATGCCTTTAATCCCAGCACTTTGGGAAGCTGAGATGACAGGATTGCTTAAGTCCGGCGTTCCAGACCAGCCTGGGCACCATAGCGATATCTCATCTCTACCAAAAAAAAAAAAAAAATTAGCTGTGCATGGTGGCGAGTAACTGCAGTCCCAACTACTAGGGAGACTGAGGCAGAAGGTTGAAGTGAGCAGTGATTGTGCCACGCACTCCAACCTGGGCAACAGATGAGACCCTGACTCAAGGAAAAATATAACTTTAAAATGTATT